ACACGTTGGACCATAGAACAACTACCACCCTCAATAGGACTGCTTTTGGGCAGCATTATCGTAGGACATCATACGTCGACCGAGCTGTTCCAGTTTAAGAGGCCGCAAACAACTGCGTGAGTCATTATATTGGAGAGAAGATGCTATCGGTATCAAAGTAGTGGAAAACTTTATTTGTTAATAACTTTATTTAACAAAAACTAGATTAGATGAGCATTTTTAAAAAGTATAAAAAGTTTAGTTTTTTGGAGCAAGAGAAATGTTACAGAAATTTGCCTCATACCTCTCGGGTTGCTTGTTTCGTACTTGGAGAGAATAAGCAGGCATCTGCATGTTGGTCACTTTCGTCAAGTTATTCTCTTCGTCAGTTGTAAAGGAGTATGACGATGTTTTCGACGACTTTTCGAAACTATGAACTTGCCAATATACTGATTTATTTATATATTGATGTTTTACTTTGTGTGCGTAATATCGGGAAAAGTAACGGTAAAACAAAAAAGACCAAATTGGTTGGCAGGATTTGAGTCTAAGTATAAAGTGTTTTTTTACAACAATATTTCATAGGCTGGAACATGTCTAGGCAAGCATGAACGAAGGAAATTGAGATGTGATGTTTTGATTCAATTGCTTTCACACACTTTCAGAGTCACTTAGAAATCATAATTGTATGAAATTCTAATGTTTTTTGAGAGTTTGCTGCATAGGATATAAAGAGAAAAAAATTGATTTAAATAACTCCTTTTGCACGGAAGTCAGGTAGTGTACCGATTTTTTAAATTCGGAAACTAGGATATTCAGACATGTTAAACATTTCCATATATTAATGCTAGAAACTACCCTTCTTTGCCTTCTTTACGTCGATCACGACTGGGGTTAGTGATCAGTTTATCGTCAAATTAAACTGCCCACAAGTTCAAGAAGCTTTAATTAAGTATTTGTATATTAATCAAAAGAGTTAGACCACTCTAAGTCACTCGAGTCACTCTTATGGTCGATTACCCAGCTTACTAAGGGGTTTCAGTTCGTTTAAGTTAATATTTTAGGACTTACCCACAACCTGAAGAGATGGCTCAGATTGCCCGCATTCGTTGGCCAAGAGATGTGCGGCGCGACAATGTTCGTGCTATGTTAGACAGTACGAAGCCAGTATTAATTGCGACACAGCACTTGTAAGTTGCTCTGGAATACTTTTTAGACATCGTGCATATTATATGTTGAACTCTCAAAATCTACGATTTTAATGAAAATCACATGTTGCCTGCTTGATA